TTCTTGTGCTTAAAACAATTTCTTTTTACTCTAAATGTTAATATTTATAGAGCATCAATATATTATTTTGACTATTCTTTCTTTCTGCTTTAATCTCCAGAATCTTTTGGCATGGTTTCAAACAGACGATTTAGGGACACTAAGATCATACTTGGTGATATAATGCTTTCCATCAGGCACTTACTGTATACCCTTTTGTACACATAATGCTGCAAGCATGGGATTTCTTTTTATGTTACAGGTAGCACTCAGCACCTTGTATAAATGCATGAAATATTAAAGAAGAAAAAATGATGACTGTGGAGCTGGCTCTTATTTTGGAGCAATGCTACTTTATGTTTTTAACTTACGGGAATTAGTAGGCCGTTGGAGCTCTAGAGTTATTTGAATCAATCAATCTGATTACAAAAGGAAGCCAGGGCACTGGCAGTGAGGGTGAGGAAAACTTTATTTGCCAGATACTTGGCTGCATTTTTTTTCCTGCTGTTTCAGCCTATTTCTTCGTATCCTTCTCAAATTACTCCAGGAAGCTACATAATTTACACAAACTCATTGGATGCATAATTTGTATAGAACATTGGCTTAGATTTATTTATATATGTATTGTCAGGAAAAAGGAGAACAAATGTATTTGGGAAAAGGGACTGCTGAGACAAAGTAGGCATTTCCCTGTTACCTTTTCTATGCTTCTCTTTCTTGCAAAACAATTTATCAGCTGTTTGAATGTGAGATGAGCAATTATGGTTTCTGTTGTTTTATTTGGTGGATTACTATTATTTCTGAGCCGAAATAATTTGATGAGAAATGTTGACAATGCTTACTTTTCCAGCAAGTGTTGGGCTTAGGGATATTGTTTCCATCTACTCATTCTTATATTGTATGTCCAAGGTTTGTTTTGGGTTTAGTCTAATTCACTGAGCTTTTTAAAGTTTGAGTTTGGTTTATAATGAATTAAGAAAAACACATGATAAATTTAAGTTTCAATAAGTTATTCTGGGGTTTTTTGATCATTTTAAATTCCCACTCAAAACTCTGAACAAGTAAAATCCAGGAATATTAAAAATCTCTTCAATTAATTGTGCTTCCTTTCCCAACTTGTTTCCAACTGGGAGATCATTTACTTGGAGAAATAATCAATATAAGAAAATTATCATGTACTGAACAAATATAGAAAATCTTGGAGGTTTGTTTCAATGATTAAGCATTGTGGCCTATTAGAAAAATCTTCAAGCCAAGTGAATGCTTTTTTTCTTCTGGTAAGATAATTACATATATATATATATATATATATATATATATATATATAAATTTTATGTAATATATATTATATATTTTATATTTAATATATATA